ATCCCTCAACAGAATCGTTCAAATTATTTTGGATAATGTGTATTTTGAATACTAAATCCCTTCAATTAAGGGATTATTTGTTTCTGTAAACTATCCTAAAAACAATATCAGACATATCAATTACTATCCAATTCATAATTACGAATAAAATAGATACGGCCTTCCTCCAGTTCTTCCCTTATCTTTTGAATATGAACATTGTGTACCAAACCTACGATGTGTACGCCCTGCAAATCTATACTTATATTAAAAGGAAACCTATTTACTAAATATAGTAGGTAGAAAAATCAACTTTAATTAATGAACTTCTAATTTTATCAAGTAGTAATTAATGCATTTATAATGTTAATCAAGTTTTCTATTTTACATATTGTTTTTAATCCTTCTTATCTTGACATAAAAAAATTCCATAAAATGGGGTGAGCAAAAACAATCAAAATTCTGTTTCTAAAAACTACAAATCAATATTACGATTTTGAATAATACACTAACATATTATAATATATTTTTATAAAACTTATAAAAAACTATTAAAAAAACTTGGTTCGTATATTTATATGGATATTTATATTTTTTTAATATTATCTTTGTGTTAGAAAAAACTATTTAACACTATTCTTTTTTATTATATAATAAAATAATAATTAAATATTATATGATAAACAAGAATAAATAAAACTGTTACTTTTTTCTTATATCAAGGGATAAATTTATATACTGAAATTAAAGTTTTATTAGTATAAATATTTTAGTGAGATAATATATTAATTATTTTACAAGCTAGCCCTAACATACTCATATTTAAGTTCTGGCTAAAAAACAATGCTGGTTAAAAGATATGAAAAAAAACTTATAACCTTATTATTTTTTAGACTTAACGTTGATCAAAAGAGGTAGAAAATAGATAATAACACTATTACTTTTAAAATTTAAACGGACAAAGCAGTTAAAATAACTCATTTAATATCTATGTTCCGTGCATCGCACGGGGTACGTACTAGTACAAACAAAGAACGATTAAACAAAATGTTTTTGTATGTAGTTATGTTCGTAATAAGAAAAAAATAAATAGAAAAAATATCTCCCTATCTTGAAGAGGATCTTCAATATGTTGTGTTGAAGATTTGGAGACTCGCGCTCAAACATACGAACCACACGAAGTTTTAACGGGCATTTCTTGTTTCTTTTAACATCATTAATGATACCGAAGGGTTTTTCCATGTCAATTGGTGGTGTTTTTGTTTTTTGGAACAGTACTTTTAAAGATGCGGGTAAAGTGTTAAATATGGGTTTAGCATGTTGAATATTTATAGGGTGTATATTCAAGTTTATGATGAGAGCTAATAATGTAAAACCGATCTTAAGGGGAAATTTGAAA